TCAGCTGTGTGATTAGTATTAGTATTGCTCAAGTGATTAGTATTGCTCAAGTGGGCGGGGATCTTGTTCAAGAGCTGGCTGATGATTTTGTTAAGGAACCACGATATGCGATCAGTTGGCCCGTTCACGCAACTGACGATGGGCCGTATTTTGTATGACTCAGCGGAAGCGGAGCGCATTTCGGATCTAGACAGTTTGTGCGTCTTGATTAAGCTATAGAAAACGGGGCAAGTAGGTGTTTCTATCTTGAGCCTATTGAGGAATTTTTCATGCAGACCAGCTTCTCTACCTACTTCTGTCCGTATGTGGTTTAACCGCTTACACTGTGAGATAAACTCTTTTTCGCTTGCAGGATGGTAGATAGTTTTATCTGACAGATGCAGTTCGGTTATTTCGCGATCCAGGCTTTGTGGCATGACAACGAACTCCCCGCTTTTATCACTGACTGATAGGCGAATAGTGCCGTTGTTAGTCAGTTCTCTCAACTCACTGAAGCCTTGTTGCTGTGCGCGTGTCAGGTTGTACTTCCTTATACTTTCGTTTTCATTGAGAATTTTCAAGATGCTCAATGAAAGTATTCGAAATTTGATGTGACTTACGTCAAACAAAGTTCACCTCCGATTGCGCAATTGAGTCATTCGATGTTGTGTCATTATATGCTAATGTTTCTCAAAGCCTTGCAAGCTTTATCTGAGATGCTAGAGTTACATGGTAAAAATATGTTGACGTATGGTCTCAGTAAAAGCCGCATAATGACCCTCACCAAGGAGTGCTTAGATTGCAATATATTTAAGTGGTCGGGCAAATATTACTCTCAAACAAGAGGACTGGCAATGGGCCAGCGATTAGCACCCGTGTTAGCAATATGTTTCATGAGCAAAGTAGAATAACCGGTGCTATCCCGTGCCCGCTTATGTATTGTCGTTATATCGACGACTGTTGCATAGTCACGTCGACAAGGTCCGAAATGGACGAATGTTATCGAATATTGAATCAAAAGTCGAGATACATGAGCTTTACGAGAGAAGAACCGCGCGACGATTGGCTACCGTTTTTGAACACACAGCTGATGTTGAGCAATGGAGCGGTGCAAATAAAATGGTTTCGTAAAGACAGTAATAAGAACATAATCTTGCACGCAAAATCCGCGCATCCAGAAGCTGTCAAACGAGCCGTCGTACGCAATCTGATCAAAACGGCGACGAAAATCTGCAGCGGTAAAGAGGAAAGGCAGGAGTCACTAAAGCTGGCAGCCGAAATAATAGCCTCGAATGGATATGTCATGCGACCCCGATGTTCAAAAAGAAAAACTGTAAAGACGAGCGAACAAACTACCAATAGAGTACCGTTGTGCTTGCCTTTTATCTCCGAAAAGGTCACTGCCGCAGTCAAACAGTGTCTGATACAAGCACAGCTTGAGAAAGATGTCATCTTAGTTAACATCCCGCGAGACAACATTAGAAAGCTGTTGATACGCAATAGATTGTACGATAAAACTTGTATCACAAGAGATTGCGTTGTGTGCCCATACGGACAATTAGGAGATTGTGCGAAATCTGGTGTTGTGTACCAAATCGAATGTACGAAATGCTCTGCCATATATATCGGTGAAACTGGCCGGCCATGGGTGTGCGCATCAACGAACATCTAGCTAGCAAAAAGAGGCAAAGCTTGATTAGTCCACTGGGAAAGCATAGAATGATCGAACATAACGGTGTTGGTTACTATGTCAGGTGCAAAATCTTGGCCCACGAACACCAAATTTCTGCACGAAAAGCCTTGGAAGGCTCCTATATTCTTGCTCGCGAGTCCAAACTAAATAGCAATAATGAGAAATTATCTATAACTAGTGACTTGATGCCGTATCTGTCGTACTGTAAACTATAAGATTGTGTGCCCTACTTAAGCAGCCCCACAGTAGCTTGGGTACTCATTTGACACCGCACTCGACCAAGCACATCCGGAGCGGCTGTTAGCTACAACATTGGTGATATACTTGGTGGGTGACCATCGCCCCCAAACTCCCTGCTTCCACTCAAGACGAATCGAGTGGCGAGTCGGTGGAGATATTTGGCGGCGGAGATCGTGTATCAATGTGATTGACGCCTTTTCAGCCCCTGAAGACGGCGTCTTGCCGAAACGTCGGGCAATAAAGTATATCACCTATAACAACCTGTACGGCATAATATAATAATTAAAATTTGTGCTTTAATTTTTGCCAGAAGCATCGTTTCTCAAAAAATGGTCGCAGTCGCACTGGTCTCACTATAATTCCGCCTCGGAACTGCAGCAATGAGAGAATTTTCTGTGCAAAATGACAATTTCGACAAATTTTTGTCTACACAGATATTTTCTTTAACTTTTACTTTTTTAACTTTGATATTTTTTACTAACTTTTCGGAGCTAACTGTTTCCCGCAGTTATCTAGTGCGAAAATCAATTGCAAATCTGAAATGTCATTTTTGAAAGCATTGTTTTCAGTGGTTAGCGCATAGAACGTCATGAGGCGCAAATCTTTGATATTTCTGGGAACGAAAAAAATAGGTTCAGGTCATGCACTTTGAAAAGTTAATGAATTCTGGTTGATCTATAAAAAAACCCTCGTACCCAACTCAATACCGTTCACGACTATAAATTTGTGGAGGCGCCAAATTTCCCCACGGAATCTCCGAATTCCCTTATAATGAACAAATTGTAAATTGAGAGGCGTCATTCTATTTATTCAGCTCGACGCGGTGCATCTCATCATTTAAAACTGATGTAACTTGACTGAGCAGCGTAACTATACAGTTTTTTTATGTATGTCTACCCGGGTGTACAAATGTTTCAAAAAACTTCTGAAGCGATCCGGACCAAACTTTGCACACTCACACTTTTCGCTGTCGATTATGGATTCTTCAGACCTTAAAGGCATCATCCACCCTAAGTTGAAGATCTTGAGCTTTTGGCAGCATATGGATAGTAGGACCCCTTATCAAGCCAGAGCCCAGGTCGTGGCGCAAAATGTCGCTCCGGAATAACGAAGATGCACGAAGACCCCCAGACGCCATCGCCCTCCTCATCCATGCCCTCAAGGTGGAAAGCACAATAGATAGGCGGAGCGCGCTAGTTCGAACACAATCTTAGTCCAGGATTGTCGATTACCTTCGCTGAATTTATCGATTTTTCGCAAATTTCGAGCTGAGCTGGGGTTCAATGGGTGTTGAGTTCCTTTATCCTTATTTAACTTCTTAACGGCTACCGTGATGCGCTGTTTTATAATGCAATCACCCCCCTCCCCCATATTTCTGCTGGAGATAAGTGGAGCTTTTCTTTTACTCCTGGAAAACTGTTCCAAGAGAATTTTTCACCGTTGCCTTGAAAATTTTCTTTCTTCATTTAGTAATTCAATACGATAAAATTAAACAATCGGAGCATAGATTCAACAAAGCATACAAGTTTTTGCACAGTATCTTCTTTTCACGTTTTGATCGCTTTTAGAACAGAATCCGCGAGAAGCCCATAGTGGGCATCTGAAATAACAACATTTTTCTGTCATTATAAGATTTTTTTTCATTGCACTTACTTGCTGCTATAATCATAGCATCCTCCGCATTTATTGCAAGTTTTCGCACAAGCACGATGCATTAGTCCTTCGTATTGGGGATTATTGCATAAAGCTGTGCGTGTTGCACAATCTCTTGCGTAATCCACGCAAGTGACCGTAACTGCAAATTATATGCTGTATTGAGTTGAGCTTTGGTGGAAATGGTGCAAATACACACAAGAAACCCTTTGCAGGGCTCGGAATGCTCATTCTGAAACTGCAAAGGACGAAGTACCTTGAATTTCGCAAAATTTTGCGAAGCCCTCTTTGACCTTAGGCCCTAAACGTAAAAACCCACAAAAAAACAAAATGTCGACTAAAAAACGTGACCTAAGTTGTGTTTCTCGAGCATAACAAAGATATCCCCAGGGTCGACCAAGAGGTGTGACACACAAGCGCCGGATACGACCCATCTCCCGCCTATCTTCTGTCTCAACACCCCCCCCCCACCAGCATTATCGTTTGCCTTCCGTAGGTGACATAACCATTACCAGCATAATTATACACATATTCGAATTACCATGTCAAATAACCACCACGGGCCAAGTTCTAGCAAATTCTGAAAATTCCGAATATAGGACCATCCAAGCGAAGTGATCATTTTCAAACATAATCAACCGTATTTCAAAAGTGAAATAGCTAACTTTTTTTGTACTCAATACAAAGCACTACTCCCTATTTACCGTATTTACCGATACCATGAATCTTGCTTCAAATAACCACCAAAGTATGTAATTAGAGCAGGCCAAAATTTCGTTTGTCCCATTTTTCGCTTTCAATGGCTGCGCTTCTACCAGCTTTTACTCAGAGCGAAGATTATCAGTCAGGCCCAAATTCCCCCATGAAAACAATAAGACTCAGTCCATCAAACTATATCTATCTTGTTCGCTAAAATTCTTTCAGGAGGCAAGGTAATGGGGTGTGGCAAAACCTCTAAAAGGCTAAGCCGCCACAGCTTTCTAAAGGGTGTGCCCCATTACGTTACCTTCAAAGCGTTCAAATCTCTGCCTTTTTTATATGGTTGCGTCTGCTAAACCTTCTTCTCCACATAGCAGGAATTTCATTCAAAACTGTTTTTCCTAAGGAAAAATATAGTCGTTTTTTTCTTAGCTAAGCAAGGATAACACCGCGAAAATATTGGATTACGGCAACGTGCTAAGTCTGCGCTGCTATGTGAATCGCGAGGGAAGGAGGCAAGAAATATTCGACAGCCCGAATCTCGTAACTTTCACAAAAGTAATTTAGCCTGATTGGCTTTCTCTAGTCTGAGAAGTTGAAAGCGAAAAAGACAAACGGGATTTTGGGCTCTTAATTCTAGAGTTTGGAGGTAAGTTGAATTTAGATTCCTAAAGTAAGCAAAGAAGTAGTAGTACTTTGTTATGAGAAAAAGAAGTAAACTACTCACCTTTGAAACAAAGTTAGCATGTTCGAAAATACCCACCTCACTTGAGTGTGCCAGTATTTGGAAATCAAAATTCGCTACAACTTGGCCCGCAAAGGTTATTTGACATGTTAATAACAAAAATGTATGCTTCTGTGCGTGTGCGACGGTAAGCCAAAACATCAGCGCTGTTATCTTGCACAGTGGGCCTACCAGACGTTGTGAATGACATAATGTCCCTAACATCTCCATCACCTCGATAACGATCCTCCCCCCTTCTCCGGACCCCTTTACGACCTCCCCCACAGGCGTGGCGTGCGATACCCCACGCTTGACCCTGAATATCCCCTTTGCTTTTTGTCTCAAAAATGATATCTAGCTTGCTTATAAGACACTTGTGCCGAGCCTGACCCTTTGTGATCCATGCTTGCAGTTTTTGGCCATGGAAAATTTTCAAATATATCGTCGAGTTATTCGTAACTTGATGTGTGAGCTTCCACACACCGCGCTTCAACAGACGACGCCTTATCGGTAGCTCCACAGTAAAGCCTTTTCAGCTTAATAAACTGTAAAATTGTATACTACTGACTAATATATTAGGTGGGTCCGAAAGTTTTGTCAGATTTTTCCATCGGTAAACACGCTAGAATGAAGGTAAGCAAACATTTTAAAATGTATCCGATGCAGAATTTCTTCCTCTTTCCAACTACTAAGCTATCATTCTGCTTCGTTGCGAAAGTGACGAGATATTTGCTGGAAATTACAATCACTCGTTTTTACCATGTCCAAATTTCGCTAATTTTTAAAAATTTTGTATGAAAATTATGGAGAAGCCTCAAGAACTAGCAGATAGGGCAAACTTTTTGCCAACAGAAGCAATTTTTTTGTAGTCTTACGGCTTGTCTTCCAGAGTTTCTACGATTTATTTTTTGAAATGATCAAATTTTACATTCAACTTATTTTGACCTCGTAGAACATAAATTGTTAAACACTTCAATCACCATTCGATGTAAATTTTTCTCCTTTTTCCAATACTTGCCCTTTTTGCTGAGGCAGGCAAAATTTGTAGGGAAAATCGCAGTATTTCTCAATTTCAGGGGTGATGATGTAACTTAGTTTCAAAATCTTCATAATTTGAAGCGAAAATCGCTCATTTACTTTGTAATGGTAGCGGTAGTAATAACGTGTGTTGAAACATCAGTTTTCTGTAGGTTTTGTAGTGTTTGGTGCAATAACAGGTCATGCGATTTTTTCCAAAACACAGGACTTTCAGAAAATTATGTAGCAAAAATCTGAAAAAGCAGCTGGAAGAAAGAAAAAAATGCTTCTGTTGGCAAAAGTTTTGCCCTATCTGCTAGTTATTAGAGCTCCTCCGAAAATCTTACAAAAATCTTGAAAATTAGCGAAATTTGGACATGGTAAAAACGTTGCAATTTCCAGCAAATATCTCGTCACTCTCGCAACAGAATACAATGTGAGTTTGGCTGCTGGAAAAAGAAAGAAATTCTGCATCGGATACAATTTGAAGCTTTTGTTTATCTTCATTCTAGCGTGTTTACCGATGGGTTAAAAAAACTGACAAAACTTTCGAACCCCTAATATATCCAATCTGACCAAAATAGGCAAGAAAACAAGGTGGAAGGCAAGGAAACAAGGTAAAATCATTGAAAATGGGCGGCTTCTAATCTTACAAGTTCGCCAGGTAGCGCGCTTTGTGTGCAGTACGCTCGCTCAAATGACTCGAGGATAGACATATTTTATTCTGTTAATTTGAGAGGAAATGAGTTTTCAAGGTATAGATTTTGTTTTTTATTTGCACGCATTAAGAGTGACTTTTGCAAATTTTCGCAGAAACGTATGGAAATTGACAAAAATGGTTCGAAGTTGACGTGCAGTGTATGTTGCGTGCAATCACCCAAAGACTGGGAAGCTGTTTGCGCAATACTTTCTCCTTTTCTAGAAAATCAGATTCAGCTTCTTTTTTTTGAGATGGCTCTACAAGATCTGCACATGTGACCGTTTATTAAACTTTAATAGAAATCAATTATCTTATCGGAAACTTTGCTAGCGCATTGTTGAGTATTATTAAACAATGCGCTAGCAAAGTTTGCGCATTCAACAATATTCACGCCCTATTTTGGCCAAGTCTCGAGACTTGAAAATTTTGCCAAATCGTGCTAAAAGTGAACAAGATTCCAAAAAACTTTTTTGGTCTTCTTCAAAAAAATGTCAGGGCTGTATCGGCTAGAAACGGGTTTCGATCTTCATCTTTTCAAAATTTTTCGTATGGGAGCATCAGCAAACTTACGTACAGTTGCAATTACTGCATGCTTGAACTGCATATGTCGGCAGTAATCTCCCCTCCCCCCCCCCCCCTTCATCCTCGCCCTTTCGTCCCCTCACCTACCATAAATCTCCCGTTTAGCATAGATTTACATCTTAAAAGCCTTGACTTACTATTAGGTCCGCCTCCATCACCAGTGGCCGGGCAGCGATTGCACGTTGAAGCGCACTGTTCTGTCATTCTATCGTAGTAATCGACAGAATTACAAAATTGCTGAAAATCAGTTATGGAAAAGCATTTGTTATCCTTGATAAAACGTACCACCATAGTTGAGCAAATAGCACTATTGCTTGCATCTTTGCAGAGATTTGCATTTTTTAGGTCACATTTTCCACAGGTAGAAGGGCACTTGTCCTAGGAAATTTAGGGAAGGTTATAAAATGGTTAGAAAAATCTTCTTGTGAATTTTTGAGGTAAAGTATAGGAATGGTCAAGAAAAATCTTGGTATATTCTTTAATTCATACATTGGCGGCTGGAGGGCGGGGTTTCGTGAGTTCCTAATTAAGGCTAGATAATGACTAGAGAGCAGTGCGCGAGAGAGTCGCAGATTGCGTCGCGAGCGCGAACAGCCTTAGTTAAGTCACAAAACCCCTCCTTCCAGCCGCCAATCTAGTTGAGTCAAAGGTTACCTTCATAAAATTGCCCCAGATTTTCGAATGGCACTGAGATGCTAGAGATGTGCAATTGAGTACCGTGTCCGGCTGTGGATTATTGCACGAATATGCTCCGCATTTCCCACAGGTTACCAAGCAATCCTGTAAGATTTTGTTTATAGTTTACTTTTATTTTGTATATAAAAAAAACTCACCATTAGCTGCGTTCTGTAGGAATCTTTATTACAGTCGGTTAGGTTTCTGAAAATTTCACCACAACGGTCTTCTCTAGTCGACCTATCGCAATCTTCCTTGCTTTGAACTAGGTAAATAATGGAGAAGATGCAAATCAGCAGCATTTCCGGACTTGCTCCAGATAAATCATTTCCCTGGCCATTTATAAGCGTCGAGCAGGTGTGAAAATATGGGTCTAGCCATTGTTTTCATAAAGGTATCAACACCTCAACAACCTAACAAAGCAGCATGACAGTATTGCATATGAACAAATACAGTTGAACGAAATATGCTGAAATGGTCGTTGGTATGAAAAAATTATTGCAAATTTGAAGTCAAAACCGTGCAATCAATATATGTCTGATTGTGAACAAAATCTTGAAACACGAAATTGCATCCAGACTTTATGGAAAAGATATTCGTCAAACCAGGGTAATGGAGAACATACGGCAACTGCTTATTATGGAGGCCTTGGCCATACCCCATGCGATTTCAGTCGCGACGCGACTTGGCAGCTCTCCAAGTGCCCATCACTTATCGCGTGCGCATCCTAAACGGGCAGAATTTAGGTCGTTTCATCAATCTACAAAGTTTGTAGATTAGATATGCAACTGCAGCCTCTCAATGGATTTCTGGCAAATTGCCAGATCTCGTGGCGACTGAAATCGCGTGAGGTATGGACAAGGCCTGAAACGTCTGACAATAGGTAGTGCTTGACTTCTATTATCTTCTATGTTCTAGACGATCCTCGAAAGATTCTCCTTGTGGCCCTCTTGCTTCGAATGCAAAACTTGACCCCTTTTTCGTTTTACGGGGTTTGCTAAACCTAACCTTTAACACTAAAGAAAGAAAAAGAATTTTGCCATAGAAGGTAGTGGTAAAAGTTTGGAGTAACCAATTTTTTCGGTTTTCCTGGTGCCACAAAAATTGGGCTTTTTTAATTTTTCACCTTTGGAAAACGAAAACAGCTGCGGGTTTCTTACAATTAGATGCTCTTTGTCCAATCTCTTTGTGTACTCAGCATGAATTCAGCTATATTTTTGAGAAAGTTTTTTCTATAGCGCGGAAGTGCAGCACGTTTGCATTAAGATTTCTCAGTTCGAAGATCTAATGAAATTTTCTTCTGCTGTGCATGGTGTCGAACAATTTTCCGTTAAAATTGTACGCTTTTTTTTCAAAATGAAGAATCTCCGTTTTTTTTCCCAGTGATTTTGAGCGAGAAAAAGCGAAGAGAGAAAATTTTTGGAATTTTAAGATTTAGTCTCTTGGTGATAGACTTTACATCAAAGTTTCTGTAAAATCGGAAGCGTACATAAAAAAATAAACGAGCTTTTGGATGCTTCACAAAGGTCTATGTAAAAAAATGTTTTCCTTTTTGACACAAGTGGCCGTATTCATCAACGAATTGGGTTAGTGCTTTTGATGATTATCGATTCTACTCCAGGGTAGAATCAATATTCATCAAAAGCACTAACCCAGTGGGTTTCGGAACCCACTGGGTTCTTGATGAATACGGCCACAGCAATTCAATAACCGAGGTCTACAAAGCTGTATTAATTGTGCTTGACTAGCGTTAATGATCTGCGGGTTTTTCGAGCATTTTAAAAAGTAGCGTCAAAATTTGAGACGAAATTGGAAGCTTCGAAACATTCGACCTATTAACGTATTTAACCATGTTTGGATCACTACACACGACCTAATCCACCGGCCTACCCCCTGACAATGACCAAATTTTCGATCTGCTTTCAAGCAAAAAACTTTTTGTCTTTATCAGAAACCGCAAGCTAATAATCATGGATCTAGTAATCTTTCATTTGTAGTTCGTTAAGTCTATAGCTGGCTGTGAGTTTTGAATGGCCTCATCTTGAAGAACTCCTGTCACCGATTCTCATAAGCATTTCAAATTCAGCTATACAATGTGTATCAATCGCAAGAAATCGCTGAACAGCAATTCTAAGGAGCAAAAGCCACAGATAAGCGCATCATCGAATGCTGAAAGTCAAAAACCAAGCCCTGCACAAAGTGGGGCGGCAGTCAGTAGTTTGCCAACGAAGGAGAAAGATAAAGAAGTCGAGAAAAGTTCTGACGTAGCGGAAAACACAGCTGTAAAACCAGCGGAGAAAGTAAGAGTAACTTAATATCTTTACATAATCGTTAAAGCATTTTTAGGAGCAAGTGAAAGGTCAGTGCTTTTTCAGTTGAGGAGTTCGTGAGTAGTAAAATAATTAAAAATTTTTGATCGAGTGTAATGGACTAGATATTTCTATTAAAAATATCGTTTTTAGAAGAAAAGCCCGAGGAGCCGCTTCACATCAAAGTGCCGCCGCCTCGCATCCTGTAAGAGTTTGAATTTACTTTGATTTTCACAGATAACAAGCAAAGAAAATTTTGCTGCAAGTAAAAAAAATTTTGAACGATTTTGATTCGTTTTCAAACTATGTGGAGAGTTGCAGCCATACCTTCGATAGTCAAGTGACAGGGACTAGACAGTGATAGTTGTTTGAGTTGCCCCCTATAAAAAGTGGAGGTTGTCTTCAGAAAAATAGATGGAAATTTAGAGATATGAATTAAACCAGGAAATTTGAAAAATTCACATAAAGCAGAGGTTAGCACATCACCAAATTTGAAACCTTAACTTGTGGGTTTTCTACAGTTTTGTCTTCAGAATTGCCGGTTAAATTGGGTGGCAACAAGAAGAAAGTTTTTTACAATCAAAAAAAGCGCTGTTTAGCTGTAGCGGTAGCTGGGAGACCGAAAGAAGGAAAGCTTGTCAACAACTGAATTGAACATGTTAAACATGTATGAGAAGCTATCTTGCACATCGACGCCAATCTGATTTTTGATGCGTCCTTGAAATTTTTACCCCCCCCCCCCGCATTGACGTTCCTGTTTCCTGCAACGTTGTCTGAACTCTTCCGCTCATCATTCTGAGCAAAAATCGTCCGAACTGGAGAAAATTCATTGCAAAAGCACTGAAAGAGAACAAGGTAAAAAAACGCACTTTTTAATAATTTTCACAAAAATATCAGGCATAAGCAAAGAAGTAAGCTCGGCGACGTTTTGTACATCATAGACAGAAACAAGACCTATCGAATGCACAAAAAAACCGAGCGAAAAGAGTTAAATTGAAGAAAAAACAAGAGGTTTTTGAGAACGACGTTTTTACCAGATTTCTCGTTTAAATCATAAAAACGAGTCTTACGACGTTGTCAGCGTTAAATTAGAGGTCAAGAGCTTTAATATGATATATAGATTGTCGAAATTGGGCTCCGACTAACGAAGAAAAGGGTACCAGGGCCAAATGCCCCGCGCCCCGCATTTGAGGTAGCGAGGTAGTGCCTCAGACAATTATTGCGAGCACCCGCGGCCCCTAACCATGTCTTTCGGCAGTGCGCGGGCGTCAAATTCTCGCACTGACCACCCGCGACCCTAGATTTATTAACTTGTGAAACATCCAATGTTATCATTACGGAGAGGCCGCGGGTCTCAAATATTTTATCGGAACACCCGCGGTCCAAGAAAAACCACACGGGTGAGCCTCGGCCCCTACAGGACTCCCTGCATATGAAGTTTTCGGGCAAGCCCCAGCCCTCTAGGCCACGACCCGACAGAACGAATCTGGCGAGCCCCGGGCCTTGCTGGAATTCGCATTTCCTACACACTGTAAGAGAAAACGTTACTTGCATGAGATACGGCGCAGTGATAGAGCTATCCTCCACATTAAATCGCAAAGACAAGCCAAGTTCTGGTCGTCGAAAGTCTCTTGGATGACACAACTGGAGCCCTCGATTGCGGTTCTACATTGGAGCGTCGATGGGGAGGTGTCTGATCGTCACTCCGTATTTTTGTGCAATTTCTGGCATTTATGCTAAACCGGAAGTGGGAACGCCCTCTCAAAATTTTCGTAATTCGAGTACAGGGTGCATATCGGGCCACCCGCGAGTGCGAATCGCGCATTTATCGGGCGCTTGTCGGGCCACCCGGTGGTACTATTCGGGCGCTTATCGGGTCACTCGCGGGCACTGTCGGGCGCTTATCGGGCACTTACCGGCGCGACCTCGGGATGGGCGTGGCGTCGCCTATGGGTGGTCGGTGGGTGCTCGCCATAATTGTTTAAGTGCGAAACGCGCGGAGATGCAGACGAGCAGCGGAGACAGACCAGAGCCGGCGAAGTATTTCGCTCTGGTCATTGTCTCTGTGGGGTCATAACGAAACCCTACATATTATATATCGTTGTGATCCCTATGAGACGGCCAGGAGCACTGACAACGTCGCGGGTTTAAAAATCACTCCATAACGAGATAGACCAGCATTTATTTAGCGACTCTCTGAGCAAGATTTGAGCGCACTTTCTCGTCTTTATTGAACTCCAGCGGCTTTCATGAACTTCCAACGCTCAATCGCTGTCTAGAAGAAGGTTAATTGAAGAATTTCTTATTGAATTTTTGAATAAAAACCTTATTTTTAGCAAAAAAGACTAAAACGCATTTCTGCGTTTTTTTAGCTTTTTTGGATTTCCCTACCATATTTGCTTCATTCACGTTCATCACTATATGTTTATGTCATTAGCTATATCATAATATCCGGAGCTTCGCACCGGAAGACTTTTGTACTTCTCTCCAGGTGAAGGTTGTGTTTTGTCATGACGCTCAAAATGAAGGTTACCAAGTAAATGGCTATATCGAAGGTATGGTTGCAGCTTTTTTATAAACAAATGTCGCATATGAAAAATCCAACTTTGAGCTAATTTTTTTTCGAATTTTTTTTGAATTTTTTTGGTTTGCGCCATTCAAGAATCCCATCCAGCTGTAGTCCCATTGCTCACGGAACTCTACAAAAGCCTTTTAACCTGAAAACGAGTTGGAGGATTCTGGAAAAGTTTAGAGATAGAGCTCAAAGTCCGTTACCCAATTACCTTTAGACTCAGACAAATGACCTGAACTTCCGCAGAGCGTTTGCGGAAGTTCCGCCGGGTCACTTGCGGAAGTTCCGAAGAATGCCAACCACAACAGCAAAAAAGAACACCGAAGCGAGATTTGAATTTCACTCTATTGACTGTGAGACACACCTACTATCCTTTACGCTACGGCTGACATGTTCGATAACGCACTCTAGTTGTTGGAGAGGCAACAACACGAGACAACACATTCAAAGTCTTGCGGAAGTTCTGGCAGGTAAAGTGCTGCGAAACCTCTGGCATTTTTCGGAATTTCCGCAGGATTTTGAAGAAGGTTCTGCGGAAATTCCGGTTTTCAACCAGTTTGACATGAAAATCCCGCGGATGTTCCGATTTTCAACGTTTGCATTTTTGCAATAGTAAACAGAACCCTGCGGAACTTCTGCAAATTTGGCTTGTCCTGAGGAAGTTCCGGTGATTTTTCTGATTAGATGTCGGTGGCGACCCGAGAAATTTTCTTTTGAGGAGGGGGAGGCCACAACACAAAGTTTTTTGAATATAAAGGTGTGTCGTTAGCTACGACCTTCGGTAAAATCTTTTAGATGAAAATTTCAGCACGCATTCAATAGAAAAGGGCTACAGTGATGCTTCCATAAAAAAATTTCTACATGTAATCTGCATTTCTGAAATATCCAATTGAAGCAAATAATCGCGCAGTTTCATAACTCAAACAGAGCACTTCCGGAGGTACCGGGGAAAAGAGAGACGCATAGAAACGTGAACCAGATAAATAACATAATAACGAATTTTTGAGTCATTTTGGCTCACATGGACTGCCTTAGTCATCGTTTTCCAAATTGTTATACAACCAAACAATTCAAAAAGAACGTTAAAAACTTGAAGCAACATAGAGACTTCTCAGCATGCATGCTATAGCTCAAAATCCTACCTTTTCGACTGTCCAATAATTTATGTCTACTGAACCTCCTCTCATTGTTAGTGGCACGGAAAGTGTTGAAATAATAAATTGGCCTTTACGTCATCTTCTTCAGCTTACGTCATCTACAAAGCACTTTTGAGAAAATGATGCGCAATTTCCATCACTTATTTGCACTCTACTATGTCGTTCTACGAAGCTATAATAATCATTTACAGGAAAGCAAAACGCTCACCGAAAGAAGTACGTGCTAGTGATCCGCAGTACAAAACTCTCGAGCTAGACTTGAGTGATTGGGACAGTGTGAAGATTATCAAGAAAAGTGAAGCCAACTTGGATGAAATCTTGAAAAAAGACGTGGCATTAGAAGGCACGCAGATCAGTGTTTCTGATTTGCAATAAGTTTAAAAGTCGGTAGTGGTTTGTCATATCTCTATAATTTGAGTATCATGTAATATGTGAGCATTATGGTTTTTTCTCGAAAGCTAAACACATCATAGTGTCATTCATGCTATTATCCTTACAATTATATCATAATTAACTTTCACAAAAGTTTCTAATAAAGTTTTTAAGCTTTTCTTACACAGAGGTACGCAAAAATACAAAACTATATACTTTTTTCACCAGTCCATGAGTTAGACAACATATAAAAAGGATATCCGATTGAAGATGTTAGCGAAAAAATGGTTAGCATGAAACCAAGATGCAGGTTCATATCAAGAAACTAACTTTTTCTGTGCTAACTACCTTTCTAGAGACCCTGATTGTGGTGCTTTTTATTAGTAGTAGTTATGGCCTGATAAGTCTCAGAATTAGTTAGAGTAAGAAGGGAAATTTGAAGGGCATGAGGTGAGTCTCAAAGAGACTCCACTTTTTTCTTATAAGCTCCATGAGCTTCTTTTCTGTGCTATTCTAAAAAATATTCTTTGATTGCTTTTTTCAGCCATCCACCCTCCCCACAATGTTGAAAGCTGAAGGCCTTTACAAACACATTTGGCACGTGGACTTTTTTAGCCGTCAATGACTAAGATGCATTAAATGCGCCCATGCGCTAACGACAGCTCATATAATCTTATCGTGACCTAGGCAACTCTGATTGTCCAATACCGTAATTGAAGCGCTGAGTAACGCCTGAAATGATACGGCACTGGGCAAGAAGTCGAATTTCTCAGCCGCAAATTTGTTCGTCTTTATAAAAGTGGTTAATTACCCTGATTTCACGCGTATAAGGCGCACTTTCTCGAATTTTCAAACGAGCCGCTCACGTATCGACGCAATGTTACTGGATAACATGTTATCTCAAAATTTTCGCTTCTGAAAGCATTTGAAGGAAGGCTGTGTGATAGAGGAATCTTTAGCAAATGAATAGTGCTTCCTCAAAAAAAAACTGAGCAGGAAAGAAAGTGAAAGGAAGATTTGAGAACTGAGAAGCGAAAGTTGATTTGATACTGAATGCTATTGTGATACTGTTACAATAGAAGTTTTTATTGCAATCATTGCAATAGTATTACGCCTACAGTAAGACTATGCCTTACCCCTGTCTATTTTTTTTCGAATAGCAACGTGATGTCCCAAAAGTATTTTGCGTTAGCTGAGAAAAAATGGAAAAGGTTTAAGGAATTACGTTCCGACCTGTATATCAGGTAGTACAGAGCGTATTTACAAGTAGTGAAACACAACTCCGAAATTGTATCAGACCGACATGAATAGAATACTATTATTTCCTAAATTTTCATGAATTTTTGAGCTTCATAAAGTTGAGCATTTGATGCCACTGCCTTAGGCATTTCACCTCAGATTACAAACAAGGGCAAAAAAAACTGATTTATTTTTGACAGAATGTTCTAAAATTTCTATATGTGCAAGCATTAATAAATGCACTTGCTGATTTTCAGTGTTAGCAGTAGTAGGCTCTTTTGGTACAGTCCGGTACAAAGGCGGAATCAAGCCCAGAGGCTCTTTTGGAGAAAGAGACAACTTATAAAGATTTCAAGAGCCAACCTGTTTTTACCTACAAATTATCGATTTTATAAGATCAAGGGATATACCAAGAATAATTACAAAGAATTATGTGAATGAAGGTCTGCATATTTTTCTCTGAATCTATTAAGTTGGGTCGAAGGTTTTGAAACATTTTCAGATCTGTTATTTTTCGAAAATATGCATGTACATCCGATGAAGACAGCATTAGATAGAGCAAAGCAAGCTGACAAGATGGTATGCAAAAGTTGGCACCAGCTTGAATTCACCGTAAGTTTGCATCCAGAATATGAGTCGTACTAAAGACTTGAAAAATTGGAAAAAATTCATATCCTCGTTCAAACAAATCCTACGGATCTCCCACTTGCTCACGCAAACTGCACACCACATCGGCACTCATATGCACCGTTCCTGCATTTCTTCCTCATCTAGAAATCGAAAAAACGAAATTTTTTTTGCTTGTACAAAAATGAACTGTTCTCACTCATATAATTGTGTAAGACAAACCTTTAGAAATATAACCAGGGTCAAGCGTGAGATGTGGCATGCCACCCCTGAGAAGTCCTACTGAAGAATCAGGGAAAGAGGGGAGGGGTCGTTATAGAGGCGTCCGCTGTCCACATAGCATGATATATTCGTTAACAATGTGAAGAAGTAGGTCCGTCATGCAAAATACTGGCACCTTGATGTTTGCCCCATTATCGTATACGTACAGTAAGCATAATCAAAGATCTATAAAGCATAAAAGCATCGTTTTGTAATTAGCGAGTAAATTAACCCCCGTGGTCCAATCAGCGAATTCTGAGGTTTCCAAATACAGGACCACCTCAGTGAGATGGTTGTTTTCAAACATGTTACTTTGTTTCAAAGGTAAGTCAACTACTTCTTTTTGCGCTTGATGACCTTCAAATTAAGGGATTAAGAGTAAGCCAAAATCTCGTTTGTCCCATCTCCGTTTTTAATATCTCAGGCTGGAGAAGACCAGTCAGGCTCAAATTACTCTAATGTAGATTATGAGGCTTAGGCTATCGAATATGTACATTCTTGTCGCCTTCTCTTGCGATTCAAGTAGTAGCGCAGACTTAGCATGCTACCGTTTCCCAATATTTTCGCAGTATCATGACTTATAATAAGCGGCTTAATCTGAAGTTGTGTGGAGTTTGTCCGTTACGAAATTACAGTGAGGAATGATTTGAGATACTAAACATCATGTGAGGTTAAGATAGCGAGTATGGTTCATTTTTAACTACGGCTCACTTTGCAATAAACCGAACAATGATTTGAGAGACAAGCTCTCAGAAAGTGAGTTTACCACGGTTCACGATGCCAGTGCGGACCTCTGCGAAGCAGAGGTGAAGCACTGGCAGGGAATAATATATTTAGCTTATCTCAGCGAAACCGAGAATGTGCGTTTTCATAGCCGTTTTTACCTAAAAAAAGAAGGTTTCTGTGGAGTTTCCGCCAGAATTCAGGACAAAATTTCTCAGTTAACCTCTCATTTGAACAAAATCGAGTTTCAGAAGTCTAGAAAAGCTATTAGAGTCAAATAAAACGAAAAACTGCACTTAAATCTTGCGCGGAAAGTTGCGCACGAAAACGCTGGTTTTACCAATATTTTACATTTGCATAGGTAAGGAAAAATGATTATAAAGAGACGTTTTCGTATGAAATTTCTGCTATGTAAAGAAAAAGAATAAGCACTAACAACGATGTAAAAACGCAGCTATTTGACCTGTTTGAAGGTAAATTAATGGAGTGTGGCACCACTCCTAAAAAGCTGCGGCAGCCACAGCTTTTCAGGGGTGGTGCCACACCCCATTAACTGTATCGAAAAACATTTTTGGCGAGCGTTATTTATCTGAATCAATAGCCTAAACCTTGTAGGTTTCATAAGAGTTTCAAGCCTGATTCGTCTTCTTAGCTCTGAGTGATATTTGGTAAAAGCACAGCATTAAAAGCGAAATATAGGAGAAACAAGATTTTGGTTGGCTTCTAATTCCAAAATTGGAAGGTCTTTTGAAGCGAGATTTCTGAAGTGGCCAAAGAAGGAGTAGTGCTTTGTCTAGAGAGCAAAAACAGCTAGCTATTTCACCTATGAAACAAAGCTAAAAGACGTCGAAGTATCCTCTAGGGTCAGAGCGTAAAAACCTCATCTAACAAATGTAATCTACTGTAGTCACTTCATTAAAATTTATGCCGTGACCCACTATGAGAGTAAGTTGTCGTCAAAGTGTTAATTGAGGCAACGCAAAACTAAAAAACACAAAACTATTCAAACCCACACCTGCATCAACTTGTGTGACCATCGCATTAATCACTACACTACTGCGTAGGGGTGGCCCTTGGCGAAATCCTTCATAACTTCTTCCAAAGAAACGATTAGCAAAAACAGGAGTGAGATCCGAAATCAGCGTTCTAAGACGAGTGTAAAGCTATACATCTCTTCTCAAAAGGCCACGAACACCGAGACAGGATAATAACATCGGCGTGGCGTCTATCCGTATTTTCTCCCTTGCAGCGTTCTCTTCCCCTATAACATGAGACACCCATCCCTCGCAAAGGGTTGTCGCGGGTACGTTCTGCATCCAATCCAGTGCCTTTAGTTTGACCTAGAATAAAAAATTTTCTCATTTTTTGTGTGTAGCGTCACATTACCATGTGAAGGGATTCGCTTGGTCTTCCATGTTTGGCTAAATTCCCTTTTAACTGACTCCAACAGTACTCTATTGGATTGAAAAACCGTGATAAGGTGGCAAGCTTATCATTACACCGAATTCGGCGCAGATGTTCTTCACCGCATAGTTGCGGGCACCAGAAAGACCTCAACGACTCGCTAGATAATTTCGAAGTTAACATGGAAATGTTTTGAAAAGCTATAATTGGTTAGCTCGCATGCACCTCTAGCAAAAGATCTTCCTTAGAAGCGTTTCGAAAAACCAACCCTTTTAAGCGAAGATACTCTTCAATCGCAGACTTCGAGGACCGTCGTGTGGGAATCTCAAGAAAGGACATGATGAAAGAGAAAGTAATCAACTGCATGATTTCGATTTTATCGATTTGCAGCGAGTGATAAGAGGCGTTGTCCATTACGATGGTGACGACCCGACCACGTGCGAATTGAAGTAAGTGGGGTATCGACTCGCGTAACCAGCTTTCATAAATCGTGTGATTCATGTCTTGGTGCACCTCATCATGAACTATCTGCCGACCACTTATATACACCCGCGTGCAGCCATGTATTACTCCTTCATTCGTCATAGCTCTCAAAACGATAGCCCTCTTTCCTTTGCTTCTGGAGTCAGCTAATGACAGAACTCCTGCGTGTCGCCGCGGGGCCGAATCGCGGTATAGTGGTGTCGCTCCAGCCCCTCTTTCTAGTCATACAATCGTAGACCCGGGTTTCGTCAACGTACACGATACAGCGGCCTTCCCTTCTTGCTCCTTCCACGGTTCTCAAGTATCGGGCTCTTTTACACGCAGTCTCCGGATTTTCGAATATGTATTGTTGCCTGTCCGTCCTGTACGTGAAAGCAAGACCGCGTAAAAGATAGTAAAAAGTGGTTTT